CTTTATAGAAACAGACACCGGCATTGTAGGCTACTCTCACAGGAAACAGTCCTCAACCTCCGCAAAATGTGCATCACACATCTGAATATTTGGGTTGAAGTGTTCTGGAACAGTGTTGTAAATACAACTTAACCACTGTCGTGACCTCTTTTGGAAGGCCAAACAAAGTAGTTTCACTTTCACAACGAAACACACAGCGTCTCCACAACATGGCCACGGCGCAGCGGCAACAACAATACTACAGCGAGAATCAAAGTTACACCTTCTTTCTTTGCATTAACATTTGGGTGGCGTTATGCAAATCTCCCCACATGTGGGGGCGTGTTAGAATGAGCTGTTTTAGGTATGCGTGGTTGACTCTTAACTTTTATAAAGAATATCTCTTTGGATTTGAGACTTTAGTCTTTGCAACTTTACAGATCTTCTTTATGCACCAAGAGCTTGTAACACTCCAAAGAGAAAGAAAAAATGTAAATCGCATCATATGACCCCTTTAAGTTAGTCAGTCACAGCAGTGGGATTCACTTTAGTTTCTGGTAACGCACCTTTAACTTCTGTTTTTCACAGAGAGGGGAAAATTTTTTTGGGTGCAATAAAGAGCTAAATTTATAAACTCAACTGAGAAACATAATTTTAAAAAATCTGGAACTGCATTTTGTGAACTATTCTCAAAACAATATTTCATCTCCCTGTCATTATTTAAATGGATAGTTCAAACAAAAGTGAAAATTATTTACTCGCCCTCAAGTTATTCCAAACCTTTGAGTTTCTTTTTTCTGTTGAACTCTTTAGATTCTTTGAAGCATATGGGTAACCAAACAGTTGATGGTTCCCATTAACCTTCCATAGTATGAAGAAAAAAAAAAATCCAAAATATCTTTTGTGTTCAACAGAAGAAATAAACTGGTACAGGGTTGAAACAACTTGAGGATGAGTAAATGATGACCGTATTTAAATTTTTTCGGTGAACTACCCCTTTAAGTGGTCAAAAGCTGAGCAGTAAGTGATAGAACTGTTAATGATCCCTTAAATGTCCGTATTGTTTGAACTTGTTGTGTTGAACTCACATAAAATAATTATCCATTTAGTTTGCAGCGTCCTCTTTCTACAATCCAATAAATTCTTGGTAGACAGAATCAAGTTCTGTCCTCCCTCTTTTGTCTTGTTCACAGTTTACGTTTCGTGACTATGTGCATGTTAACACAAGTATAAATGCCTTTAAAAAAAAGCCGACCTCTGTTGTGTCTTCAGGTCAGATCCTGCAGGTGGTCAGAGCTGCCAATGGAGCTCAATACATCATTCAGCCCCAGCAGCAAATGGTGTTGCAGCAGCAGGTCCTGCCACAGATGCAGCCTGGAGGTGTGCAGGCCCCCGTCATACAGCAGGTCTGTGCTTCATACTTCACTTAACGTACAACAGTGACATGTTTGTTCTAGTTCTGTCACTGCAGGGTGTGTTTTGACTACGTCTACTCGCTTGATGAGTGGGATTTGTTTCCCAGAGTCAGCAGGGGTCCTCATCATAGCTAACCAATGCAAGAAGTCTGTCGGATGTCTTGTTTGTTTAAAATGCAATATGAGAACTGATGGAGTACGGTTTTACTGGAAGAGATCTGATGGAAGTAGAGCAGGTTTTAATATTGCAGGGTTACTCCAGTGGTTTATGAAAGATGATGTACACTATAAATAATCTGTGAAATGTATGCTAAATTAAAAATGGGTAGCTGTGGTTGCCAGATCTTTACCGTTTAAAAAAAAAGCCACAACTTAAATTTACAGACTATTTCATTGGCTCATAAAATGTTAATGCGTATTCCAGAGTACTTCATTGTTTTGTTCCTCTTATAACATAGTAAAATATATATTTTTAAGAAAAGTAATACTTTTTTTTTTAACTTAAGTATATTAACTTGTTTAAGTATCTTTTTTTTTTTGCTTGATTTTTACCTATTTACCACGCAACTTTACTTTAACGTTGAGTAGTGTAATTAGCCTTTTCTATTTTTACTTCAAGATTGTACTTGTATTTTTTATTTTATTTTTATTTGACTAAAGTAAGACATGTTTGTTCTAGTTCTGTCACTGCAGGGTGTGTTTTGACTACGTCTACTCGCTTGATGAGTGGGATTTGTTTCCCAGAGTCAGCAGGGGTCCTCATCATAGCTAACCAATGCAAGAAGTCTGTCGGATGTCTTGTTTGTTTAAAATGTAATATGAGAACTGATGGAGTACGGTTTTACTGGAAGAGATCTGATGGAAGTAGAGCAGGTTTTAATATTGCAGGGTTACTCCAGTGGTTTATGAAAGATGATGTATACTATAAATAATCTGTGAAATGTATGCTAAATTAAAAATGGGTAGCTGTGGTTGCCAGATCTTTACCGTTTAAAAAAAAAAAAGCCACAACTTAAATTTACAGACTATTTCATTGGCTCATAAAATGTTAATGCGTATTCCAGAGTACTTCATTGTTTTGTTCCTCTTATAACATAGTAAAATATATATTTTTAAGAAAAGTAATACTTTTTTTTTACTTGCCATGCAAGTAAATATTATTGATACTTTTTAATTAATTGTGTGGTAAAGTGATGTATAATGATTTGTTTGATTATTTGCATTTATTTATTTATAACTCTGCAGGAAAGTGGATCTCGTGGGCCAGATTTGAGGATCCCTGCACTAAAGTATACTTTTTTTTTTTTTTACTTTATTATTTTGCATATTTACTTGCCATGCAAGTAAATATTATTGATACTTTTTAATTAATTGTGTGGTAAAGTGATGTATAATGATTTGTTTGATTATTTGCATTTATTTATTTAGTTTTACATATTTACCTACATAGTAAAGAGAGCCACGTGATGAATCAGAATTTGCCACAGGTAGTTTTTCCACAAACCGAGCTAAACGCTGATATATTTAAATGGATAATGTCAAACAAAAAACACCATGGTATTCCAGAATTCCATGTGGGAAAAAAAAAAGTAAATTTAAGTAGTATTGTTCCAGTAAATCTATTACCATTTTTCACCATATTTAGTAAGGAAACTTACCATTAACCAATTACATTTTTATTTTTTTACTATTACAATTGGTTTTCAAAGTCTGGTGAGGAGTCACATGATCTGTGTATGCGAACAAAAGTGCAGTGAATGCGTGTTTCTCTTCATGTAGGTGTTGACTCCTCTTCAGGGAGGCCTTCCCCAGCATACCGGAGTCATCATCCAGCCGCAGCAGATTGTCCTCACAGGAAATAAAGTACCACAGAACACTCAGGTCAGCAAAATTTCTGACCTCAAGCATAAAGTACATGTCTCTGATCCTGAAAAATGCATGAGGCATGTGTGTATTGAGGGGAGTTGCGTGTCTTTAGGTCATGCAGGCAGCAGCGATGGCTGTGCAGGCGGAACGGGGAGCTCTGCATGTGCAGCCACAGCCTCAAGCACAGGCATCGCAACAACAGCCACAGCAGCAACAGGCCTCGCAGCAACCTCCCATGGTGCTCCAGGTGGACGGTGCAGGAGACACGTCCTCAGAGGAGGATGAAGAGGAGGAGGACGTGTATGATGAGGACGAGGATGAAGACAAAGAGAAAAATGGTGGAGAGGATGGTCAAGTGGAGGAGGTACTCTCTGGATGGTGATATTGTTAATTAAAAACCATTAAAAACGCCATTTAAAAAAAGGAGTATATAAAAATAAAAACCGATTGAAGATGAATAAAGATGTAATGGTATATAAATACCAAAATGATGCTTGTGCTGGACTGTGACCGGTCTGGTTTGGTCCCGTCATAGTTTGTCTATTCTATCTTTTAATTTAGGAGCCATTAAACAGTGGAGATGACGTCAGTGATGAGGAAGATCAGGAGCTGTTCGACACTGAGAACGTGGTGGTTTGCCAGTATGACAAGGTGAGTATTGTAACTTGTGTTACATCATTTGTTAGTGTACATACAAGTTTCTTCTGGATTGAAATAAATAGGGATACATTTCTTTTTTTCTATGTGCCTTCCTTAAATGGGTGATAACTGGGTCCACACAGAATGTCGGTAGATTTCTGCAGTTTTATATATAAATGTGACCTGTGCTGACCTGAAAAACATCAGACAGTTCCCCAAAGGTTCACTTAAGACATAACAGATTATGTTGTGTGAACACTTAAATATATTGCAGCATGAAATACATGGATAAATTTAACTATAAGTCAGTCTGTGGTAACAAGATTTTTATGCCGTTTTCATAACTAGAAATTGAATGCAAAAATGTTAACGGGTTTTTACAAATGAAATTGGACATTTGCATAGAGAAAAGTGTATTACTTTTAATAACCATTACTAATAAACAAACTGTATTTTACTGTATTAAACTGGAATCCCTTTATCCATTAAGCATGTTTTATTCGATTGTGCTGGTTTCAAGTCATTGAGAATTTTTCATTTATTTTTATTCAGTTAACTCTTTTGAAGAGATTTTTCACAGAGTTAAGCCAAATACATAAATTACATGAATTGCAAATTTAAATAAATTAAATAAAAACATGATGTAATTCAGCCATAATATTCCTCGCCATGAAAATAGCCACAGAAGCTGGAATGTCGTTAAATACAAACAAACTGTATTAAACTGTCACATTACATTACCTTCAAATTAAATGCAAAAATATTACATTTTTAACATTACAAGTGAAATTGGACATTGTATGGGAAGTATGAATTAGGACATTATCGTGATGCAGTTTATTTGTTGATAATTTAGTTTAACATATTACATACCTAGAAATGTTTTGCAAAAATATTTCTATGTCAGTTTGGTGTGTGAAATTTGACATTGCATAAGGAAAAATGAATTCAAACTTAGAGAATAAAATCAATATATAAAAATGGCATTAAACTGGTGCGTCACTAACATATTAAACATTTAGAAATTGAATGCAGTTTTTTTATGAAATTTTTTTTTAATCGATGGTCCATGAAATTAAATTCAGACAATATCTTGTGCTTCAGATTCACAGAAGTAAGAACAAATGGAAATTTCACCTGAAAGACGGGATAATGAATCTGAATGGGCGGGATTACGTGTTCTCCAAAGCCATTGGAGATGCAGAGTGGTAAATGGTAAAGAACAAAACCCAGAACTGTCCACACTTAAGGCAAGACACATCGAGACCTGAAACTGTACATTTCAGGAGATTCCCACTTCGGGGGCTGAAGAGTAACGTCCCAGTGCTACTGTGCTGTTTAAATGATATCGGCACAAAAATAACGTGTGCCATCCAAGAGATGTTTCTTTCCCCCCCTCCTTTTAAGATGGCCCTTTTACCTGTGGAGTTTCACAGGAGTCCGTAACTTCTCTTTTAGAACAATATTCTTGCCCCTCAGATGTATGAAAACATTAGGCGCATGGAGCCAATTTCAGCGCCTGGCGCTAACATAAGTTGACTCTGGTGTGTTAAGACGGCCAACTGTGCGTGTTCGTTGGTGATTTCCGTAGCTAGGTCAGCCATCTGAATCCTGTGTAAAGCGAATCGTCCAACACGAGGACTATTTCATCACCATTGGCCACCTTGTACAAACACTAAAAACAAGCAACCAAGAACTGTTCCAATAATTTCCTTTCGTATTTGCTATGTTTTTAGACCTTTGTATGTTCAACAGCAGAGATACCAATGAAAACAGGCAAGTTAAGTTTAACGTTGTCGGTCTCACTAAATTGTTCTCGTGTTTGTGCGTCTGTCATGGATTTTTCTAACTGTACTCTGGCTAAAGATCTGCTCTGTCAGTATGATGCATGTTTTGGGGCTGTGCATCACAGAGCTTGTGTTGTCCTGCGTGTGTTTGTGTGCAATCCATTGCGTTAGGTGTCAATGACGTGCTCGGTCAGGCCACCCTTCATTCTTTACTTGCGGTCAGGCTTATTTTACACATTTCTAGTAGTTTGTATTTATTCCCGAAGCTCAGGCAGCGTTGAATTTCGGGGGGTGAAACCGAACTGTGCTCTTAATGAAAGAAGTTTTCCTTTCAGCCCATTCTCTGCTGTGGAGGATTTCAGCACCTGATTCTGTGCATTGTGGAGCTTTGTTAGGGTGTTTTTTTATATATTTTTTTTTGTCCTCCATATTTTGTTTTATAGTATTTAGTCTGACTTTTTAAGCCGTGCCCTCATACAGTCTGCGAAATGACAGGTTGTTGTGTTCTGTGTCTGTATGTTCATCAGTTGAAAGTATTGATACGTTTTGTTAAATTATGTCCATGCTACGTTTGTTCGATGAAATGGCTTGGACTAGTTTTGGGGCTTTTTTTATTTTTTTTTAGTGTAGTTCATTATGCTCCTTGTTTGTGCCTTTCAGATTTAATTTAGGTATCAGGTCTTTTGTCTAAAGGGGAGAGCCTTTAGCAAATCTTACGAACTGTACATTTCGCTTTGCTTTTCTAATGGTAAGTAAAGAATACTTCAGAACTACTATCTGGGATATGTGAGGGAACAATGTTTATTCATATACTGTTTTACCAATCAAACTGCTCTGTCTCTGATTCTCATCTCTATGAAGGTTGTGTGTTATGTAAGTAGAGATCTTTAGTATTTTGTTGAAACATTGAGTTTTATTATTTTTGCCTTTGCTGAACTTTATTAAAGCACTATTAAAATGGACTCTCATTTTTGAGCTATATTTGCCTTTTGCAACTTGTCATCGGAATACTTATTCATATGTAGGTTTATTCTTATTGTGCTGGGGTGGATGCCTGAAATCAATGTGAATGTTGAAATTGACCTTTTACAAAAGATGTATTTTATTTGTCTAAGTGTCATGAATTGTTCTGCCTATGAAACTACTTTCCCTTATTGTCATTTGTTGTGTGGGTTATTAAAGGGACAGTTCACCCAAAAATGAAAATTACTCCATAATTTATTCACCCTCAAGCCATCCTAGGTGTATATGACTTTCTTCTTTCAGACGAATACAATCGGAGTTATATTAAATGTCCTGGCTCTTCCAAGCTTTATAATGGCAGTGAATAGCGCTTAAGATTTTGAAGCCAAATAAAGTGCATAAATCCATCACAAAAAGAGCTCCACATGACTCCGGGGGTTAATAAAGGCCTTCTGAAGTGAATCGCTGCGTTTTATAAACTATAATCTCTAGCTGTCGTTAACTTGAGTCTTCAGCGTTTTATGAGAGAGTGGCGTTCCAGCGGATGATGTAAGATGTAGGCGTAGCATAAGCTCCGGTGAGAATGTTAGTCTTGTGAGCACAGAGTTTTGTTTACAGCAAAGGAAAACCAGTCTCCTCTTGGCTTATATTAAAATCCTCCATTTTTATGTGTTTTTAACAAATGCTCATTTTGTACTTCTAATTTGTGACCTGTGTTTTGTTTTGCTCTTTTTCTTTGTGCTTCCACATTCATCACTTCTCACCGGAGTAGGGATGCTCATTTTAACCGGTTAACCGTTAACTGACCGTAAGAATTTTGACTTATTACAATCAGTTAAATGGTTTAAAAAGTTATTTATTTATAAAAAAAATTCAGTAGGCCTAATTAATCAAAATATTTTAAAAGGTTTGCTGTATGGTTAAAATATGCTACGTGTATAAAAAAAAATAGTTTTTTTTTTAAGGAAAAAAACAAGTCGCGTATAAGTCGCATTTTATTGTTTCATTCAGAAATAGGCCTAATGCCGACGTGAAATGTTTACAAATATTATAATAAACACTGTAAACATAGCTAGGCTATTTTAGTTCCCCTCACTCCACAACAAATCCTTTCGATTTAACCGTAGAAAAGAACAAGAATTAAAAATATAAGCTAGGCTATATAAACGACAAGCCAAAACAAATTAATTTAGGCTAAAATAAAACTGAAACCAACGTTGAGTCTCTCATTTGACAAAATCAAATGTTTCCGTATTCGTGATGTATTTGAATGGCAAAATATTATTTATTATGTAGCCTACTTCACTGGCGCTCCAATATCCACGTAAAACAAAATGTTTTGCATAACATCACGGCGATACAGTGATAACGCTTAACAGCACAGATTTTACTTCATAAACATTTAAACTGAGCAGTGTGTTGTTGTTTTTTTCCATATGTTTAACTGACTGTATTTTATTATGATAATGAACAGGCTGCATTGTCAAGGTAGCAAAGCTTAACTGCGCATGTGGCGCCGGCGCAATCAATTTAATTTTTTTCCTTCTAACAGTGAAAGAAACTACTCCTTTTAGTAATAAAGATAATCAGAATTGTAAAAGGTTTGCTTTTATTTGTGTACATTCTAGGGATGTAACTATTCACTCAACTCACGATTTTGATCTCGCGATTTGATTCGCTTCATGATTTTTATTATTTTTTTAACAAAATTATATTTAAGACAAATTATAAATTAAATGTGTCCTTTTATTATTGCTTGGACAAAATGCTGCACATTTCTTTGTCAAATTGAAATAACACTATAATAATATACTAATATAGTACTTGCTTATTACTGCTCTTTTGTTGGTTTTGGATTCTTATAAACTCCTACCCCTAAATGAATCGCGATTTGTTTAGCATCCCAACCGATTTGAATTGTCACATATTCAAATCGATTTTCAACCGGCTCGCGGTTAATCGTTACATCCCTAGTACATTCACAATACAAACAAATCTTTGTGCTTTTGTAAAATAGGCCTAAATAAAAATAGGATGCTGCTTTCTGCCGTCTTAGTTTCCTTTTGCGCAGCACAAAAATGAACCGAAACTCTGCATAGGCTACTTGCTGCACAGTTTTTTCTTTCGTTTTCTTAATTTATTAAGTAAAAATATATTTCTCGTATAGGCCTATTTATTCGTTGGGATATATATATATATATATATATATATATTCATTCTCCGCTCAGAGAAGTGCTGCAGGTGCGTAATGTGATATGAAGACCATGTGAATCATGTTCTGTTGTTTGCTGCTTTTTGCGCATGTAAAATTAATCCCCGGAAAACAAATGTTAGTAGGCTATTTTTAATGGGTCACAGACACTTATCCTTTCTAATTTAATTCAATTCTAATTTAAAATAGTTACTGTTTAATAATCGGTTAATGAGCATCTGTTTTTGGTTAGAAATAACCGCAATGAACATCCCTACACCGGAGCTTACGCTATACGCCTACGACCTTTATCATCCGCTGGAACGCCACTCTCTCGTGAACGCGTAAATTCAGTTTGCCGAAGCTAGAGATTATGGTTTATAAAGCTTTAAGTGTAGATATTTTTCTTACACAAATGCAACAATTCACTTCAGAAGGCCTTTGTTAACCCCCCGGTGCTGTGTGGAGCATTTTTTATGATAAATGGATGCACTTTTTGAGGCTTCAAAATCTCAACCCCCATTCACTGCCATTGTGAAACTTGGAAGAGCAAGGACATTTTTAAAAATATAACTCCGATTGTATTCGTCTGAAAGAAGAGAGTCATATCCTCCTAGGATGACTTGAGGGTGAGTAAACCATGGTATAATTGTCATTTTTGGGTGAACTGTCCCTTTAAAAATTAAAATGGCTTTAGACATTATCAAACTCTCGCATTTCCAGCAAATTTCATAACCTATCAATTTAACAAGTTCAACAACTGAGACATAAACTGAACAAGTTTAACAGGCATTTGATAAACAGAAAGGGAATAAAAAAAGTCCCTGAACAAAGGGGGGATCATTGTCTTGTCGAAAGTCACAGTGAGTATCTTGTTTGTCCACCAGCTGTTTTAAGTATTACAAATGCATCTCATCGTCGTGTACTTCACCAGATTTAGAAGATCTGTAAAGTTGCAAAGACTAAAGTCTCAAATCCAAAGAGATATTCTTTATAAAATTTAGGAGTCAGCCACACCTACCTAAAACAGCTCGTTCTAACACGCCCCAACATACCTACGTCGCTATGTGGGAAGATTTGCATAACGCCGCCCAAATGTTCACACAAAGAAAGAAGGCGTAACTTTTATTCTCGCTGTAGTTTTGTTGTTTCCGCTGCCATGTCTAAAGACGCTGTGTGCTTCTTTGTGAAAGCGAAACTACTTTAATTGTTTGGTCTTCCAAAAGAGGACGATATCCGCTTCGTCATGCCTGGAGCTGATCCGTGCTGGTCGCTGAGGAAATACTACAACTTCGCGCTGTGGATCGCCGGATGGGTTTTCACCGTGGACGAAGCGGAGTCCAGCCCGGAGTCGTCACATGTCCTTCCGGGCGCTCCTTCGTCGAAATCGCCGGCCACGCCATTCTCAAGCCCACCCGCCTCTGCTCACTCTAGCCCTCTGACCGTTCCTCACGCTAGCCCCCGGCCTCTGCTCACTCTAGGCCGCTGTGTGTGACGCTGTTTCGTTGTAACAGCGAAACTACTTTGTTTGGTCTTCCAAAAATGGACACGACTGGAAATCGGTGGTTAAGTTGTATTTACAACACTGTTCCAGAACATTTCAACCCAAATATTCAGATGTGTGCAGCACATTTTATGGAGGACTGTTTCCTGATCTTGGGAGAGTAGACTACAATGCCGGCTGTTCTGACTCAAAGACTGCAAGGACGTCTTTTATATTTAAAGAGTTTTTATATTAAATACATAGGCGTAATTTGCGGGTGGGACGGGTGGGACATGTCCCCACCACTTTTTGCCAGGGTCGATATTGTCCCTACCACTTTTTGAAAGTAATTGAAAAATATATTGCGGAAGGTAGGCTATGTATTAAAGGGAAAACAAGATCAACAAATCACTCTTCATAATCTAATTAGGGTGATAAAAAAATTAACTCCTAATGCATGTATAACTCGTGCAGTGCAATAACGATGTGATTTGCAGCTGTCGCATTTTTCGTAATGTCATTAGGCTATAGCATTTTATTTTAAAAATGACCGCTTCTTAAACCAGAAAAGGTTGCGAGTTATGAAGTCAGAATTGTGAGATATAAACTCGCAATTCTGAGAACTATCAGTCTTTTCCCCCCCTCAAAATTGGACTTTAACTCGCAATTGCGAGTTAATCTCACAATTCTGAAAAAAAGTCAGCTATGGAGGCTCTCTCTCTCTCTCTTTTTTTTTTGATTCCTCAGTGTTTGCTAAACGTTCTGTAATTTATTAGTCATTATATAGCCTAATACAGCGTGTAGGCCTATGCCATGCCTCATCTTAATCGTTTTTGTTAATAACGTTTTGTAAGCTAGTTTGTCATTGAATCTTACTGTTTTATTGTTGTTGTGCATTTTTATTATAAATAATGAATCCATTTTTTGTCTTAAAAGGTGAAAGGTCTATAGATGTAAGCAAAACGGACAATTTTGATTGTAAAACCTGACAAGATCGTGAAATCGAAAGTGAAAGCATCCGAAGCCCAGCTTATAACATGTCAAAAGAGGAACTCCTGTTCACAAAATTCAAATCACAAATAATACTACTGATGAAAAAGAACGGGTTGAATGTTAACTACTTTCGTTTCCATATAACTATAAACTATGATAAAAGTTCATCAGCGTGCATTGATTAACAGCATGTTGTAGCGCAAAAAAAAAACCCTGCTCGTGCAACCAACTGAGAAAGTCAATTGCAAAAGAGCGACCAGTGGGAAGAATGAGTCTGGAGCCCTTAATTGCCCAGCTCCCTCTGTCAATGATCTAGCACCCCCTCAGCACCTGCGTTCAAAATTCTCTGGCGCCGCCCCTGGTACATCGATGTATTTTTGAAAAGCAAAAATTAAGTTTGTTCAACTCTAAACCCAGTCCCCAAGTAAATTAGGTTATTAGATAAAAAACTAGCAAAACGAGTTGCGCGGTGTCCCCACCACTTTTCAAAGCAAAGTTACACCACTGATTTTATACATTTAAAGCGAGTTTTTTTTAGGCAGTGTAGAGTAGGGCTTGTTGTTTGTCACTTCTCCAATCACAAATGCAGACATGGTTTTATGTTTACGTGGCACGATGCAATGCGTAAAAAGACAGTATAAGTCATTATAATCCATCATTATGTCCCCACTGGATGCAACGAATGCCTCGTTTATAATGGGTTTTCATGTTTTTGTCTCACCGCTCCGGCCTGACGGCATCATCACAGTATGGTAGGGGCGTAACATTTCCGTCTCACGCTTGAGGTATTCGGCCAATCACAACGCACTGGATAGCTGGCCAATCACAGCACACCTCGCTTTTTCAGAACGATGAGCTTTGTAAAAATCGACGCGTTTCAAAAGGCGGGGCATAGAGGAGAGACAATAATGTACAGTATGTGGAAAATAATGTGTTTTTTTTTTTACTTTAAACCGCATAAACACATTTCATTACACCAAAATACACAAAATAATGTTCTTTTTAGCAGCATCATATGACCCCTTTAAAGGGGTCATTGGATGCCCATTTTCCACAAGTTGATATGATTCTTTAGAGTCTTAATCAAAAGTCTATAACATACTTTGGTTAAAATTCATCAATGGTAGTGTAAAACGCCCTTTTTACCCTGTCAAAATCAGCTCTGTTTTTAGCATGCCGTTTTAGTCCATGTTCCTTTAAATGCTAATGAGCTCTGCTCACCCCACCCCGCTCTTCCATGGGGTGACTAAACCTTCTCATGAGACTTTTACTTTAGCCGCATTTAGCCATGGAACTCGCTAACTAGCACGTTATTAGGAAAGGCGATTTGCAAAGATTCATAAAAGAACCTTATACTCACTACTTCTGTAGGTGAGGCTGGATCAGGAATGATTTGCGGCAACATAAACGCATTTAGGCAGATCGAAGGATGCATTCCCTTCAAAAACAAAGGTAATCCACTGCGTCTTCAGTGGCTCAGATGTCAGGAGTAAATGAGACTGCTATGTTCATTATTACATCCAACAACAAAACACTTAAATAGCTCAGGAGACATTCTTGTCTATATCTGCTCCTGCGTTGAAACAATGGCGGACTGATGACAGCTCACTCAGGGCGGGTCTAAGGTCAAACGCTAGTGTCAATCAACAATCGTGGGAGGGGCCTGGGTCTGTGTGATGTCACACAGCCAAGAAGCTGAGAACAGCTTGATATGAGAAAGGGGAAATGATTTAACGAGATTAAAAAAAAAAAAAAAAACACTGGGTGGATCTTTATCATTATAGGGTGGTTGTGTACACACTGCCAACACACATTTCAGTTCAAACAACTTGTAAATGTGCATGTCGCATCCAATGACCCCTTTAAAATATAGTATCCTGAAAAGGACACACTATACCGTTCAAAATTTGGGGTCAGTAAGATTATTAAAAATATATATTTTTAAAGAAGTCTCTAATGCTCAGCAAGGTGCCATTTATATGATCAAAAGTACAGTGAGACAGTTATATTGTATACTCTACTGTTCAGTGTTATATAATATTGTATGTGCGTACTTTTTCCACCCTTGGAAATGCAAAAGTATTTTGTATATGAATCGGCTGCTGTATGAATCAAAAACTATTGCCACAATATGTCAAGGCATTAACCTCCCTCCTCAACTGAGCCTGCTTTGCAGCAGTAGATGATCTGCTTTAAAACATGTTGTTCTTTATTGCAACAGTCCACTAGGTGGCGATATTCCCTGTAAAAAAGACCTTGACCATAAATCATAATTATATTGTAAATATATTAAAGTATTGGCTAGACTGTATTGAAACTGCTTCACAGATATAGTGGTGATGACTGGGATGAAAGGTGAGGTAAAAGCCATGATTTTACTAACAAGAACAAAACATTTAGGGAGTAACTAAAAACGAAGTTTGTCTATTTTCACCTTTTTCTTTTTTCTTCCTCCTCAGGCACGACATAAATGCTTCATCTGCAGTAAAAAATCACTCCATTCCAATTCCACACCTCCTTTCTCCTGAATCAGCACTTTTCTGCTGCAGGTCGACAGCGTTGCCCACTGAGGTTGATTGAGCACCATATCAGCACAAGTCTCTCACTCTCCTTTGGGTCCTCTTTCCTCCATCATTTTATCTATATGACATTCACCTCGAATTTTCAATCACAGTCCATGTCCTAATACCTATAAGTTCCTTCGTCCCATCCATTCCTTTCGTCTGAGGTCATGAAGCCACACAAGTGTACGTATATTCACCATCTGGGTTTATATGCCTCTTCAATCTTCACACACTCCATTAGGCTTTATAATGGAGAGGACAGCTGTGTTGATGCCTCGGTTTCATATGAATTTTACGCCTACAACAACATCAGCAGATTATATTGTCTCCCACTCTCTTTAAAATAGGTATGTTATGGTGTGATTGTGGAAAGCACAGCAGTAGCCCTAAGCTTTTATATTTATCACTATCTACACCCACTTTACAGCTCTTCGGTGTCCTCTGACACCCCGGCAGGTTGTTCACATGTATAGAGTGCTGTGTTGAAGTGTGTTTTTCCACGTGGACGTCCTGACAATTCAAACCTAGTGAACGTCATTGAATACACACATAACACAATGGTTATGTAATGGAGGAAGCAGATTAGTCTAGCAGTAGAAAGACAATAGCCAAGAAACATGATTTAGGATTCATATTGTTAAAATTTTTATTCAGTTTTGGGGGCATTACAGATTAACATTTGACCAAAAAAAAAAAAAAAAAGATGCTAGACTAGATAGTTGAAGTTAGTGGTGGTGGTCTCCTGAAAGTTAAAGATGTTGGGGATTTGGATTTTTCTTAGTGTGACTATTAAAGAGTGAATCTTTTAAATCATTTCACAGAAAGTTTGTTCACTGAATCATTTAGTGGCCATTGAAGCCAGTAGATGGTGACATTAAAGAAGCAGTCACGTGTGCCCCTGTGAAATTTCTGTAGCGAATTCCAGTCATTTCAGTAAGAATCCGCACAATTGACCCTTTACAGGGAGTTTGCTTGACAGGCGATCTGACCAATCATAACGCTGAATCAGCAATTTTTTTCCAACAAACAAACCAGACAGGACGGTAGATTAATGCCGGTGGACTTAAACTTGAAAAATTGTGTGTATTGACTCTTTCCGCGTTTGAAACAAGATACCTTCTCATGTTCATCCATTTATTTCATGCTGTAACTAGTATAGATGATCAGTTCACGTGCCGATTGAACTGAGGCGCTACAGCGATCTGTCACAACACATTAAAGAGCCACAAAATGCTAGTTATTGTTTGAATTTCTTTAAAAAGAATTACAGTTTGAAAGCTGAAACTTTGTTTCATACCTAAAGTAAACCGTTCTGTCTTGTCTGTCGGCGCGTTGTCAGTTTCCTCTTTGCTCCGCGATGTATTGATCACTGCATGAGAACATGTGTGGCGTGAGAACGGCATGGCTTGTCGAACATAGCAAGCAGAACTTTACGAAGGGCCAATTGGAAATTTTGCTTGGGGCTGAAAAAATTTCCAACAGAAAGCCAGATTGAAAGTGTCTTTTTTTTTTTTGTGAGCTGTGCTTCATGCATCGCTACATATTATGGAAATTGGACGTGTTTTTTTTGCCTGCAAAATTTCGGCAATGTGACTGCAGTAAACCAATCTGTTAGGACCGCATTCAAAATTGCTTCCTGCACTCTTAAGTAGTGGTGTTTGAAACTATACTGGACATTATCATGCAAGCTCATTCATTCCCATTATACACTCATTAGCTACAACATTAAATCCACCTGCCTAATAGGTCCCCCTCATGCTGCCACACAGCTCTCGAAGCATGGACCCCACAAGACCTCCTGATTGTGTCCTGTGGTCTCTGGTACCAAGACATTAGCTGCAGATCCTGCAAGTTGCGAAGTGAGGCCTCAATGGTTCGGATTTGATGCTCTAGCACATCTCAAAGATGTTCAGTTGGATTGAGATCTGGGGAATTTGGAGGCCAAGGAAACACTTTGAACTCTTTATGTTCCTCAAGGCATTCCTGAACAATTTTTGCTGTGCGGCAGAGCCCATTATCCTGCTGAAGGAAGCCACTGCTATCAGGGAACAACAGAGCCATGAAGGGATCTGAAATAATCTTTAGGTAGGTGATCAAAGTAATAGGACCCAAGGTTTCCCAGCAGAACATTGTCCAAAGAACAACACTTACTCCACATGCCAGCCTTCCCATAGTGCTTCCTGCTGCCATCTGTTCCCCATGTAAACGATGCACATGCACCTGGCCATTCATCAGACCAGGCAACCTTTTACCATTGCTCCATGGTCCAGTGACGTGTTTTTTTTGCCTGCAAAATTTCGGCAATGTGACTGCAGTAAACCAATCTGTTAGGACCGCATTCAAAATTGCTTCCTGCACTCTTAAGTAGTGGTGTTTGAAACTATACTGGACATTATCATGCAAGCTCATTCATTCCCATTATACACTCATTAGCTACAACATTAAATCCACCTGCCTAATAGGTCCCCCTCATGCTGCCACACAGCTCTCGAAGCATGGACCCCACAAGACCTCCTGATTGTGTCCTGTGGTCTCTGGTACCAAGACATTAGCTGCAGATCCTGCAAGTTGCGAAGTGAGGCCTCAATGGTTCGGATTTGATGCTCTAGCACATCTCAAAGATGTTCAGTTGGATTGAGATCTGGGGAATTTGGAGGCCAAGGAAACACTTTGAACTCTTTATGTTCCTCAAGGCATTCCTGAACAATTTTTGCTGTGCGGCAGAGCCCATTATCCTGCTGAAGGAAGCCACTGCTATCAGGGAACAACAGAGCCATGAAGGGATCTGAAATAATCTTTAGGTAGGTGATCAAAGTAATAGGACCCAAGGTTTCCCAGCAGAACATTGTCCAAAGAACAACACTTACTCCACATGCCAGCCTTCTTCCCATAGTGCTTCCTGCTGCCATCTGTTCCCCATGTAAACGATGCACATGCACCTGGCCATTCATCAGACCAGGCAACCTTTTACCATTGCTCCATGGTCCAGTTCTGATGCTTACATGCCCATTGTAGGTGCTTTCAGTGGTGGACAGGGGTCATCATGGGAACTCTACACAGCCCCATGTGCAGCAAAATGCAATGCACTGTGAGTTCTGACACCATCATGACCAACATAACATTTTTCTGCAATGTGAGCTACAGTAGCTCTTCTGTGTGATTGGACTCTAGGGACTAACCTTCGATCCCCACGTGGATCATTGAGCCTTGGGCGCCCATGAACCTTTATTGCACAACTTTTAATTGGTACTTACCATACCAGCCAACACAACAAGCGTCCAAACAATGTGCAGGATGGAAAAAAGTCTTGGCGTGGACAAACCTCTTTGTGAAGAGTGAAGTGACCAGAAGCAGCTGAACGCTGGGGTGTATGTACTGTTTGATGAAAGATTGAAGATAGAAGGGAGCGAGACCGCTGGCAGCACTGCAGGCCAGAAACAGTCTCCTGAATTTCATCTAAAGTGCACTGACTGTTCTTGATCACTCTCTTGTTTCTTCTGAGAGGACATCAATACTGTTAATGGAATAAAATCACTGGGGGAGGCGTCTCTATCTGCAGTGTAACGGTAAGATCAGACTTGGCTCACATGCTGGTCAGTGACCTTACGGGTTCAGTAAAGCTAAACTGATGCAGAAACTGATTTATTACTTCAGACCAGGAGAGACAAGACGAGGAGAAACTGACATCAGACAGTCCTACCAATACGATATGGGCAGGGGCCCTGTGGTTAGACAGACTGTTACAAATACATACTTACACACATGAATGTATGTATGCATCCCAGGCTTGTCTGAAACATTTGAGACAGGGAAGAGCAAGGTGATATGCTGTAACGTGCACATGCAATGAATAAAAATATACATACACACCCACCCACAACCTTATATAACAAGGAGACTGCCACTACAAAAAGACTCCACCACTTTATACATGAATGTATAATAATTGTCCGTGTATACATGCACTTACAGAGATGTAAGATAATTTACTCACCCTCATAGCATTCCAAATAATTTATCAAAATCAAATTTGTCACATATATCCATACATAGTTTTGCAGACATTCACACAAAGATCAGTCATTGGTGGCTACACAGCATTTGACCACTGGATTAAAAAAAATCCTTTCAGGTATAAGAAGTGTTTCAACATTGCATCAACTACTGATGAACATTAATTATTATTTGAATTATCACTCAGTCGGTTATTTTACCATGTATTACTTTGGAAGTCATTTGTCTTTCAAACACATTAAAATGCACAAATTCACCAACTTTTTTTGTCATCTGATCCTCTTTCACCTAATATATTTTTATTTGAAGTACCCCTGAGATTTGAAAATAAATATTTTAATAATGAAGTATCACATTTGTATGTTCATGGTTCTCTGACGTTGGTTATGGTCATGCGACATGCAAGTAAACAAAATATTTCATTTTTTCAGTGTTTTATTTTGATTCATTTCATAGTTATTTGTTTTCATTTAACATTTTTATGATTGAATTCATTATTAGCTTTTCATTAAACTGGCAAACCCCCTGCAGTTCCTTCACAAACCCAGTTTGGGAAAACTTGAAGTAGCCTAATATAATGTTTAATGCACTTCATACTGTTGATAACAACAAATGGAATATATTTTCTTACTCTTTGTATTTTTATATCAATATGGTACAAGATTATCCTATTTAAATCGATGTAAAAAAAACTAGATGGGTCAAAAGTAATCTAAAAGTAGTCTGATTGTATTACCTAAAATGTCCAATTGTTCATAATGTAATGAATTGTGTTACTAACTACAATTTTTGTCATGTAATTGGGAATCAATAACATTACAATTTGTAAGTAACCCAGCTCTGCGTTATATAAAAATAAAAGCGGTAAGAAATTTAAGTTAAAGAATAAAGCTATAATGTACAAATAAAATAATTTACAAAGCAACTGGCTTTCTTTCTTCTGTGGAACTCAAGATGGACGATGGGAACTAAACAACATGGCCCACGGAGTCCACTGACTTTGTATGGACAAAATAACAATAATAATAAAGTAAACAAAAAAGTATTCTGTAATGTTCAACAGAAGAAACAAAGCCATACAGGTTTGGAGAAACACCAGCTAATGCCGGAATTTTCATTTTTGGCTGAACTTTACCTTTAAGAAAACGGTTTGTTTCTGTGTTTTGCAGAAAGCCGCGTTGTTTAACCGTAATTTGAACGCGACCGCTGTTTTCTTGTCGTTCAGGGACTTGATAGAACGCGGTTCAGCTCACATGTAAATGCAGGTGGCGTTAGGTGTTGGAAGAGTGCGCATGCGCGAAGAATAAAGATTCCGAGAGAAGCTGCTTACTGACAACTCTGCATAAATACTGAGGTTAAAAACAGCGCATGTAAACACGGGCGTAGATTTTGTATCTTTTAAACTTTTCTCGCAACAGGCGGTTTTCTAGTAGGCATGTAAATATAGTCAATATGCAAAAGATTCGGGAGCGTTCACACCTGGCCCGTTGTTTCGGAACCTGGCACGTTTCCCCCCTTAGCTCGGTTCGTTTGGGTATATGTGAACACGGCAATCGCGCTCGGATCCGCGCCAAAACAATCGGTCCGAGATCGCCTGAACGATGTGGTCTCGGCTCGATTGAAAACGAACCAGGCTATAACACAATGTATGATGGGTAATTATGTAAGTTCCCTGAAAAGCATTAGCTTTGTTGTTTTGCGAATACCTCAAAATGAACCTGAGCACGTCTTCGCCATTCAAAATCAAAGCGCACTTTTTCATTTTATAATGCCGTCTTATTGCTCTTCTTCCTAGTATGTGCATTTTAAAAATTCTGGACTCCTGCTCAAAATGATAAATTAATATAACAACAGCTACAAAACAAAACAACAATCCGCCCGCGAAGCTGTTGTCCTTCCACAGTTTACTAGCGCGAGACTTGTATTAACAAATTTGGTCCGTTTAGAAACTTTGCCGTGTGAAAGCGAACCACACCAAGAATAAAAAGCAACATTGTAATAATTTTAATCCCTGTTTCGGAACAAAGCAATCGATCTACAGGTGTGAAAGCAGAAATAGTAAAACGTCAAAGCAGCGAGACATTCAGGATCAGACAAAGTATAATTTAAAGAGATAGTTCACCCAAAAATGAAAATTCTGTCATCATTTACTCACTTAATTTACTGTCGTTCCAAACCTGTATGAGTTGCTTTCTTATGTTGAACATAAACGAACAGTTGGTGGTTACCATAGACGTCCATAGTATTTTTTTTCCAACTATGGAAGTCAATGGCAACCATTGACTGTCATACAGATTTGGAACGACAGTAAATGAAGTGAGTAAATGATGACAGAATTTTCATTTTTGGGTGAACTAGGGGAGCACGGGGCACAAAGAAACGCCGGGTAAGTTGTAACACACGTGGTTTAAATATTTCCACACATGCTAGCATAACCAAATTTACAGCATTTACTAGTTGCCATATCAACATTATATAGAGAAAAAAAGTGCACCAAAATGCAAACGTTTTTTGAAGATATCGCTGAACATTTATTTTACCATAGTAAAATTATGTTTCTAGCTAAAGTAAATTTTTCATCTCAGTTTTTATTACAGTTTTTATAAAATTAGACAAATCTGCTATTATTTTAATCTCCAATCCGTTATTTATCAGTTTTGATTATTTTTTAATGCTTCGCTAACTATCAGAAGACGGTAACCCGTTTTAAATTCCAGTTGCGCAGATGGGGCACGATGTAACACTGTGTTACAATTTGCCCTGCCGTGCTATTCTATGACATTAGCGACGTAATTCAGACTATTTACTTTAATACATTTTAATGATAAACGACGAGAAACAGGTGAATAAATATTGACAGTCAATGTTTAATGTTAAGAAATTATTATTTCAAGACATGTAAAGCATTTTTGCTCGCTTATGTGGGCCGTCCCAAGCATGGTTGCAATGTGTTCATTGTCAAACTCCACAATCGGATTATTTTTAATTCTTAAAAAACGCCATTATTTTATTTGAAATAAATAATTATTTTATTGACAAAATATTTTAGTTTGTCTTATATATTTTTTTCATGCGATCAGATAACATTTTAAGCTGTCATATGGACATGTTACAATGTGCCCCTCAGCTGTTACAATGTACCCCACCTATGGGGCATGTTGTCACATTTCACTTCAAATTTTTGAGGGTATATAAAGAAAAACGTATACACTGTAATCATGAAACAAAGCGACATATTTGTACTAGACAAGTGTGAAATTACTGTGGATAAAAAAAATTCTATTCTGAACCTCATGTGGATTTACACAATTTGAGAAAGTCAAAAAGTGTTACTTTGTGCCCCGCTCTCCCCCTATCCCTTTAAGCTTCAAGAACCAGAGGGGGTGGAAACAGGGATGAGCAACACTTTTAGTAGCCTTTTTTGCACTTTCGGCTGTTCACTCTCTGCTGCTGTTGTCCTCACTGGGCTCCTCTATAGGGGTCCCTTTGTCTATGCCATACGTAGCTGTAAGTAAAAGTGGGCTACTGTTTTCTACTGTGTCTAAGCACTTTACGTTTGTACAGCTCTAAAAAAAAAAGACCAGGGGCCCTTTGCACAAACATAGCCACAATGTTTAGACATCAGTCTTACTTTTCAGATTCAAATTAGACCATTCTACCTTTTTGTACAGAATTCAAAATCTGATGAGTTTCTTGAAGAAAAAACAAAACTAAGACTAGTCTAAAGCAGTTTATGCGACCAGCCACCAGAAACTAGACTGGCTGAAAAACATTGTGAAACCAATGTTAGGATTGATTCCGTTTTATGGCTTGTAACTTTGTGTGCAGTTAATACTAATGTTTGCTTCTTGTTAAAATCATGTAACTTCTAGAAGGATGTCATTAATAACAAAAGAGCATTCTCAAAAACCTGATCGCTAAATGGATGTTTTGTTTGAAAGTGTTAGTGAATCTACAATATTTATTTCAAATTTAAGCAAAAATGGTAACATCCACCTAAACTAAAATATAGATAAATATTAAAAGTAATTTAAATTATTTAATATTCATCCCATGTTCCTTTCAAAATTATATAAAAATGTATAACTTCTGTTACACTTTTGTTGTTACACAGATTACAGTGACATCACCAAAAAAAATAGACTGCGCGTTACTTCAAAGTTACTTACAATTTAGTAACTTGTTACAAATATTTAGGAGCGCTTGTGTTGTATTCCTAGTACTGTTCTCACAGCGTTACACTCTCTGATCAACCATCTTCTTTCTTTAACCAGTCGAGGAAGCCCCGCCAATCGGTAGGGCATCAAAAAATTACTTTATACTCATAGTGTTCTTCCCCACGGAAATCTTTAGTAAAAGGCGAAAGATTTATACGATCTGAGGAAAAACATGAGTGTACTGAGCTCCAGGAGAAAGCAGGAGGTGGCAGACCAACGGCTACACGCTGCGTAACGACGGTAAGACACGTTCACCGATATCTATCGTGTTCAACTCAGCTGAGCATTAGCAACATCGCTAAAGAGTGTTATCCATATGTCTACCGAGCTAGTATAATCAAATACAATCAATAAAAAGTAAGAAATGTGTGTGGGATATAACGTGTCGTGTTGCATTGTGGGTAGCTCGGGTCGTGCTCTTCCTGGTGCGTCATGCTTCATATCGAGTTCCGTGACGCCCTTCAGTGCAAGACAAGTGTGAGAAAGAATTAAACCGAGTTTGATTCTGAAATAATATCTTAATGTTATCGGTCAATTATTATAGCTACAGATCACTGGAACAATCTCAGGTGATTCCTGCCGCTTAGTAACAAACTCTCTTGAGGACAGAGCGGAGAGAGAAACATATAACCGATTATCACCGCCGCATGTCGCACTAATCTCTCCCTCAGCTCGCGCGCTGCCCTCTTTCCCAGTTCAGCCTGTTTAGGTATTGTTATTATGCAAGTACGTTTACAACAATCTCACGGATTTCCACAAATTCAGGGAACTTTCTAAACCGAGTTGTTTCACTGGTTGGCGATGGTCTCTCTTTGCACTTTAAACATTCACTGAAAGATTACCTGACATTAACGGGGGCAGGGGCGCAGCCAACATTTCAGAAGTGAGGGGGACAGAAATGTTATATATAAAACAATACAATATAACATTTCTGTAATCTATATAACCTGCCAGTTTTTGAACAGTAAGATTTTTAGCCCAGCTAACCAATCACAACACATACCGGCCCAGCTAACCAATCACAACACATACCGGCCCAGCTAACCAATCACAACACATACCGGCCCAGCTAACCAATCACAACACATACCGGCCCAGCTAACCAATCACAACACATACCGGCCCAGCTAACCAATCACAACACATACCGGCCCAGCTAACCAATCACAACACACACTGGCCCAGCTAACCAATCACAACACATACCGGCCCAGCTAACCAATCACAACACACACTGGCCCAGCTAACCAATCACAGCACATTTCGTATTTCAGAAGGCGGGCCTTCATTTGATACAGGAACTATTCGAGCCGTTCATGCCAGACTGGGGAGAGAGGTGTTGTAATAATGTAAAATATGTGAAAAATAATGTGTTTTTCGAACAACCTAGTAACAACTAAGCCTGTTCTAGTACACCCCCAAAACAAAATCAAGACTTTGTAAAAGAGCATAATAGGACCCCTTTAAAGAAATAATAATAAAAAATATTTGTAAGCTACAGCATTAATCATACTTTTCACGCATCATCAAAATTCACGATTTAACGTCATTACATTAAAATATAGGCTATAGCATACCCCTTCCATACCTATATATTAATTTATATATGAATCTAGATAAATTTAGGACATTAATATGAATAATAGCTAGCTAATCATGACCTAGTAGCCTACCTTACGTGGTATACTTCGCTGAACTGAGGTTGTGCCCAGAAGGGATACAGCAAAAACTGGAAGTTAACAATAAATTCAATTTTCTACCTATTAGATTGTGTTTTATTAACGCCTAAACCTACCCCTTACAATAATGCAAAAATAGTAATTATTGTTGTACAGTGTGAGAAAAATTATGCTATATTGATGTGAGCATGCCCAGTAGTTTTAGCTGTATCCCTTCTAGCCTTAACCCTGCACTGATTTAAAATATGCACAGGTCATCACCACTTTTTATCAAAATGTATATAAAAGCAAGTTTCTAAAATTAGATTTCTCAATATATTTCCTTATATTTAATATAACTTATGAATAGGAATATGAAGTAAGTTAAGTTTATTTTATTTAGGCCTATATATTTACACTGCCAGAAAAAAATGTGTAGAAATTGTAACTACCTTTAGGGGTACAACAGTTTGTCACTGGGACAGTACCCTCAAAGGGACACGTTTGTACCTTCTATACCCCTGAAGGGTGCATATTAATAATGGAATAATATGTACCCTTAAGGTAGCAATATGTACTTGTATGGTACTATTATGAACCCTTTGGGTTAAAGAAGGTACAAAGTGTCTCTTTAAAAAAAGGTACTGTCCCAGTGACAATCTGTTGTACTCCTAAAGGTACACTTTTGGCACATTTTGAGAGTGTAAAGAGGAGAAATGGAAATCAGATCTTAAAAATGGCAATGAAACAATGACATGACTTGGGTACTTCCTTTCTGTTTGGAGGGAGATGGATTTAACACATATAAATAACATAAGTGTTTTTAATAATTCTTTGCACTGATTTTGCAGTTTAGTGTCTGAATGAGAGACCTGGATTTGTAAAAACGTGCATATGGCTGTGTCTTTCTAACTGAAAGGCCATTTTATGCTCATGTACAGTATGCACAGCACAGATGCATGTGTTTGAGTGCCTCTGTGTGTAATTATTCTGAGGATCTGCTGTGCAAATGCACCAACATAAACTACACGGCATGCTTTGCTGACTTTGCTAAAATCCAAATGCAGAAAAGAGCACAAAGACAGAAATTGTTCAATTTTATCTTTCTCGGGTGGCACAGAAACTCAAACTATATCAGCATTTTTAAATCCCTTAAGATATCTTTAATATCTCAACTGCTTCTTCTAGACAGCAATTAGATTAAACAGAGCGCGTGGAAACTTTTGCTTAGTCTCTTGCTTCCCTTAAGAAATCTCACATGTCTCCTCTAGAGATCTCAACAATGCCACAAACTTAACCATGAATTCCACGAAGAGTTAAAAATGAAGTAGAGTGTTGTGAATGTGTGTGTAAAGATATCGCTCAATCACAATATACTGCTTTCATGTTTTCTGATGGCATGTTGTTCTCGATCCCCCAGTTTCTCCATGGACTGTGTCATGCATCAGAGCCTCTGACAGATGACCCACCCATTAAATAGTAACAAAGTCTCCCTCCTCAACTTCACCTGACACTCCGTCGTCTGCAAACTGATACGCTGGAGACGATCCAGGAATGAAAGTTACACTAATGAGCTCAATCGTTCGGTTTACTTTGGCGCTTACCCCAGAACGCCAGCTTAACTTTCAGGGCAGCGTCAAGCCACAGACAACCGCCCTATATACTGAAGTCACCCAGGTCTTTATCCCCTCACAGCTGTCTGACTTACTTAACGCTCATTCCTGGACAGACTCCAGAAAGTCCGTTTGCAGATGATAGTGTCTCAGGTGTGGGCAAGAGAGAGACTTTCGATCACTGTCGGCTTTTAAGATCATAGGATATATGTGTCTATTGAAAAATGTGGGGCATTTTATTTAAAGAACAAAGAGCAGATGAACACATCTGGTGTAATCAGTCAGAGTATAAAATATAACAGATAATTGCGAGAGTTAAAATAAGAAATATAGTCAATTGTGAGACAGAAAATCACAATAATGAGAATTAAAGTATCAATTGTTAGAATAGAAATGCACACTGTGAGATTTGAAATTGCAAATATGACAAATAAATTAAAATAGTCGCAAATGCGATATATAGTCACATTGTGAGATATAAAATCACAGTTCCAACAAATACAAGTCACATTTACTTGAAATCAAATCAAATTGTAATTGTGAGATATTAAGTCTAATTTATTATGTATTGTAACCCTGAGGTATAGTTAAATTATTACAAATTGTCACAATTATGATGAAATGAAGTCACAATTGTAAGATGTAAAATTGCATTTGTGAGATATAAAGTTGCAAATAAAGTCTAAAATTGTGAAATATATAGTCACACTGCGAGAAATAGCCACAATTGTGACAAAGCAAAAAATGTAAGAAATGAAATTTGCAATTGTGAGAAAAATAGTTGCAATTTTAAGATACATAAAAAAAACTATTATGACAAATAAAGTCGTATATACTTAAAATGAAGTTAACTGTAAGATATGAAAGTGCAATTGTAAATAAATTCTTAATGGTGATATAGTGACACTGTAAAAAAACTCGGTATTGCAATTGAAAGAAATAAAGTTGCATTAAGGCTACTTAAAATCAAGTTAATTGAAATTGCAACTGCGTGTAATACGGTCAAATCGTGGTATATAACACTGCCAGATATAAAACACATAGAAAAGTCCATTTCTACTGTGCATTTGTACCCCTTTGTTTCTGGAGAATGCAGCTGAGAGTCGGCTCGCATTCCACAAGGTTGTAAATGTATCGGGTTACCATGAAACCAGGGTCTTGTTCGGCGTCCTGGGGTGTTACAAAGTATTTGTGAAATCTAGCTAACAAAATATATATTGTGTGTTGGAGTGGTCCAGACGCTACACTTTGTTATTACTTTTTCCAGTCCCACACAACCAGCATGGAGTAACGTGCCCCAGTCATACACAACAACGGCTCTACTTGGTGAGTCGATTTACCTGTGGGAGGCCTGAACAGCTAAAGGCAAGTGTTACTCCACCACAATAAAAGTTACACAATCAAATGAATCATGATTTTCACAATGTTGGAGCAAAGCCCCGGGAGGAACAGACTGAGATCTTCAAATGAAGAATAGTTTCACTCGGTAATGATTGGCCCTGTTTGTTGATACAAGAGGACACAAAGATTCCCCCACAACAATAATAGAACAGGCTCCGTGCTGTAGACGCGCATATCATGTTTCTCTTGCACCTGCGTCAGCTTGAATGCAACAGTCTCTCTCTCCATCTGTCTCGCCTCACAGACAGAGAGAAACAAGACGGTCAAAGTCAGTGGCTGTACACTCTGTCCCTCCTCTGTTTCTGTCAGGGATGGAGTCTTGTGACATCACTGTACACACATGCCTGAGGTACTGAGGAGGACCTAGATAGACTCACACAAACTGATCATTGAGTGCTTGTGTTCAAAACATGTTGGACTCTCTTTTTCTGGTTCTTTGACTTGTTTTGTCTGTTCAGACTAGCTGCTATCCTATATACTACATGTATGTGTTTCTATATATCACTGATTGTTTCTG